TATTATCAAACTTAATAGTCTAGATACAATAGTCCAATACTAGATATATTACTATGGACATTGTACAGCTATAATAGTATTTTATAGCAGTGCTTCTCAACTGTAAATCGGACCGCAGTTGTTACGTGGCATTAGCACCGCTGATCCATTTAATATAATATATTTACCTATTTACGATATTATTCTTTGAAGAACTATTGGTCTGCAAAATACAGTGAATATTTTTGGAGCACGTTTTGGGTTGGAAAATACTACTGTTAAGTTACTGCAAGAAGTTACCGCAATAGTTATTGTAATTTAGTTCGTAATTTATAACTAAAGAAGAGGGAGCAGGTAAATATTTTAATATAGTAGTCACAAGTAGGTCATAAGTACCGTAAACTAATTTAAAAAAAAATTTTAAAAAAATTAATAAATTATACACAATAAACTCATAAATGATATTACAATAATATCTATATATTATTAGTGCAGATTTTATATATATGTATACAATGCTACATATATATCAATATAATCTTGTTATAAAATAAAGATTTGTTTTTTATTGCAAACATAATATTTTTTAATCCATTTTATTTGCATATAATAATTATTTTTATTTTTAGTTTTTAAAACAAAACTAAATATAAGTTTTAAATGTGTTTATAAAATTTTAATAAACAATTCAACCACATTGTAAATATGTATGCAAATATAAATAACTCTTTGTGTAGATCGTTTAAAAAAATATGTACGAAGTTTTTGAATTTGTTTACTTAAATAATCCAATATTTTCACTTTCATGTATATATATAGATTTTTAAGGTAATTTAAACTAATTTTAATTAAATTTTGTACTTTGTTAGAAATTCATAGATATGAAGTATCCAACCTAATGGAACAAAAATTCTGTAGTTGCCAATCAGTTTAACAATTACAATTCAATCCAAACAATCTATATAATTCAAGCAATCTATATAATCCGAATAATCTGTTTAATCCAAACAATCCAAACTCAAACCATTACAAATCATGTTTCTAATATTTTTTTCCAAAATCCTTATTATCTTTTTCAAATCTTTTCAATTACCAAATCAATCTGTGCTAATGTACGCAATCTAACCCGCTCTCTACTTAATTTTAATTTATATTTTATATATAATTATTTTGTTTTTAATTTGCAATTTTTATATTTTTCCTTTTTGCAATTAAATTTTTTTTTAAATATTAAAAAAAAAATATTTTAATCAATATTTGAAATATATACGTTTAAAAAATTTATTTACTTAATATTATTTTTAAAAATTGCACAATTTAACAGTTTATCTTTTTTTGATGAAAATCATTTCATGCTTCCTATTTAAATTTTAAATAAAAAATAATTAAAATTTTCTATAAATTTTTTATATAAATACAGATACATTTCATTCGTTTTAAAAGTCGATTCAAACTTCTTGCCATAGAAGTAGTTAAACCTTTCAATGTTTTTAGACGATTAAGAGTTAATTTTTTTAACTTTTAGAACTGATATATTTAACTTCTTATATAAAATATATTTTTATTTTAAATTTATTTTATATCAACTTCTATTTTATGTAGTTCTCTTTGAGAACTCTCTCTTTTATTAGTTTTTAAATTATTTTTTGCTTGTTCTTCAGAGAGCTGAGAAATGTTCTTTTCGTATTAACTCCAAGAACACAAAACTATTCATTAAAGTACTAAAAAGTACACGAATTAATGCTTTTAGTACTAATATGTAATTAAAATGTTTTATATTTTTATTATAAAATATTGTTCTGTAAAAAATTTCTTTCAAATTTAAGTTCATAAAGTAATTTAAAAAAATGGTCACGAATATATTCAAGAAATTGGCACACTGATTTTATATCCAATACTTACTAATAGATAATTAGAGACAAAAAGTATAATAAAAGTTCTAAAATTTAAACAATTTAAAATTAAATTTAAACAAAATATATATTTATTGGAATATAAAAACACAAGTATATTATTACCTATAAACAAATTAAAATTAAATAAAACATTAAAACATTCATTACCAATTTAGTTTCTATAATCAAGTACTTAAAATTAAATTAATAATTAAATTAATAGAAAATTTTTTAAAGCACTGTTGAATTAGAGTTTAACAGGATGTGTCTAGTTTTATCTGTCTGGGTTTATAGAACTAAAACGTCGAATAATCGCTAATTATGGGAAGCGGTAGGCTGTCTGGTGATCAATCAATGCAACTAACCACATGTATTCCACCCGTCCTCTTCTTTCCCAGTTTATTTTCTTAGATACTTTATTTGTTTAAAAGACAATTTAATTAATACATTATTTAAAAAGTTATAAATTAAAAACACAATACCATTAAACAAACTCTTCCGTTTTCAAGTCTAAACGACTACGCGCTTAGCCACTCAATACTTCTCATAATCACTGTGAGAGTATTATTATTCTTTGGGGAAAATGAAAAATGCTGGACTGTGAAGGACTATTAATAATTATTTTTTTTTTAAAAATAATTCATAAATTATTGAATTTTTTAAGGTTGAAGCAAGTGCATTGCTGAAAAGCAAGAGCTTCGGATATGAATAACTATGAAACAAATCATCGTAAATATTTTCCAATTAAACCGATTATATCATCCTTAAAGTAACATTCAAAAAGAGTTTTCTGCAATTCTACAATTGAGGAAAGAGTGAACATCGGAATCTTCACATGTTGTTTTAGATTTGAGATCGATGTCGGTGCAGATATGTAGTCTCCATACTTATAGCGCTTTGTAATTTTGAAGCCATGTCCTTCTCAATCTTTTGCTTTTGACAGACCGTGGTATCGTGGTGGAGTCATGTAGACACAACTTAATAGCATTCTAATATCGGATTACCAAATTGCAATTGCAAGACATAGAACTTCGCCACTATGATGTCCTACTTAGTGGAAGAAAGAAAAGAAGCGTAAGACATTCTGATCGATTGGAATAATGTTATTCTGATGTGGTTCCCGGAACATCAAAAAATAGATGAAGACAAGATAGTCGATGTACTAAAGAGGAAAGCACCTGCTTTGCAATTAACTGTTGCAAACTGTTCAAAACACTGTGTTTTTAAATAAGGTATTGATACCATATATCTTGAACAGTAGATAGCAAAACACATGTGATTATATTCCGATTGCAATGTCACTATCACTTAAAGCAAACACTATCGCTACTATTGCTAATAGTGTTGAAATAGAAGGGATATTTTTAGACTGACGGCAGCATTTACTGGATTCTGCCTTATTGGAGAATAAAATTTTCAAAGATATTTACTATCACAGTTGTTATTTTCTGTCTAGATGTCCTGTTCTCTGTAGGCAGAATGGGAATTTCCTATAATATTTACTGTCACAGTTGGTATTTTCCTTCTAGATACCCTGCTCTCTGTAGGCAGGGTATCATCACTTGGTAACGAAGATGAAGGTAAAACTAAAAAATTCTATTTGCTTTTTAAAAACAAAATCAAAAGAAATATATATAAACAATAAAAAAAAGGCACAAGACTTTAAATAATTTTTTAAAAAAATTATTCAAATAAACTAAGAAAATTAAACGTTGATACACAAAAAAAAGGAACGAAAACAAAATAAAAACAATTGAATTTTTTAACTATACCATTTTCTATATTATTAAACTTTATAACATTTTTGTATTACATTATTTGCTAAACACTAATAAAAGAAAATTAAAATTGTTTTAATTAAAATATAGAACGTTAAGAACTAATACAAAACGTATACACAAAAAAAAAATAAAAAAATAAAATAAAGTAAGTAGTATGTGGTAGGCTTGATAAATATGTATTGATAAAAATTACATAATTATTAGAAACTAATACCAAAAAAAATAAAAAACTGAAAAACAAAATATCAATACATATGTGTATTAAATATATATATTATTATTAACCAAACAAAGATCTTCTTTAAAATTATTATATACCGAAAATAAAATTTTAACATTTAATTAAATTCATTATGAATTAAAATTATTAAAACATAACTTATTATATTAGGAAAATATTTAATTAATAAAAGCATTTAGTTTAGCAAAATAAAGTAAATAGTTTTTTAAATGAAATTTCCTCACTTATTTACAATTTTATAAGTTTTGCTTTTGCATTTGCTTTTGATTTTGAAAAATTAATATTACACAAATTATTTTTAGTGAAAATAAAATTTTTCGTTAAGGTGGTGCGCGGTTTAAAGAGATTAATTAATTATACAATTAAAAACATTTAGCTTAGATAGCTAAAACTTTAAATTTATGTAAATTTTACAATTTTTTCATAAAATTAAAAATATACATTTTCGTTGGTAAATATTAAATTTAAAAGCTTTGCTCCTCAAAAAGTAGTACAATTAATTAGTGTACATTTTAGCTTTGTTTTTCATTTTTTTTTTTAAAATTTTTTATTATATATTTTGCTCTTTTTTTAAATTAATTTTTGTTTTTTTTTTTTGACATAAAATAATTTTATTTTTTCCTTAGGGGACTAAATATTTTGTCATTAATTATTGTAGCTGTTTAAAATTAATTTGTAAAAATTTTTACTAATTTTTGTATATAAGACATTATTAATTTAAATAATTAATAATGAATTTACATAGTTTAACATTTGTTTTATATTTTAATTTAAAACTATTTTAGATGAATAAAAATTAAATTTGTCGTCTATAGCCCGAACATTTTTAACAAATTTTTTGTTTTGTTTTTTTCTTTTGATTTAGCAAATTTTGCTAATACAACATATAAGATGTCTATTAAGTTGCTTATACATATATTATTATATATATTATTTAAATATTGTTATGTATGTATTAGTGAACTGTTTAATTTTATTTAAAATATGTAACATTTAATTTTGCACGTTAACTAAAAAACAAAGTAAAATGCTTCTTCGTTAGCGGTAAAATAATTCAACAACATAAACCTAATAAATGCTACGAAACCAAAAACTAATAAATAATTTATTTTTTTATTTATTATTAATAAATTAATAATATTTAGTGAATTTATAACATGGAAAATATATTTAAGCAGCAGTATCGACCTCTTCGACCATGTGGTTGGGTGAAACTTCACTGGGGGTTGCGGTTAGTTGTGTGGTTGTAGAAGCGCTAAGCGGTGTGGCACCGGTTGTAGCTACTTGTACTGCAGCTGCAGTAGCGTCAGCGACACCAGCTGTAGTGGCACCAACTACTCGTGCTCCATATGGTGCACCTTTCAATTTACGTGCTTCACGTTTCTGTTTGCTTTGTTGCATTACAAGACGTAGTTGGTCCAATTTTGATTTGGTTTTAAGATTCTCCATTTCATAGAGACACTTTTGGCACATATGTTCACGTTCACGTTCGCCTGTTGCTTCGTTAAGGATGCGATAGCGGCAGGTACACATGTTACGTTCGTTAGAGCCTGCTGTATCGGCATTTGAACTGCTAGCAGCACTATTGGAACTACTTGAAATATCCTGACAACATGGATAGCTTAGTTTAGCCGATTTGCTGACGTAGTGTCCGTTGCATTCACCATACGCACAAGTACTGTGACTGTGTGCATGAGACTTAACACATTTCGAACAGTTGTGTGTATGTTTGGATGATATCTGAAATAAGAGAATATTATTAATAGATGATTTATACAAGGAATATAATATAATTATATTTGTTGCTCTAATCAAGAAATACCAAAAAAATACTAACAAAATAAGTCAAAAAATAAGGTGGAGGTAGAGAAGAAATAGACGAACGTGTTGGGGAAGAGGTTAGTGGATGACGATAATATGAGAGAGAAGGGAGAAGGAGTATGTAAGGGAAGAAGGAAGACGTGTAGGGGAAGAAGCTAATGGTTGAAGATAATATGAGAGAGAAGGTAGTGGATGAAAAGGGAGAAGTATGTAAAAGAAGAGAAGAAGAAAAGGAATACAGCGAATGCGAAGGCAGAGATTAGGAAAAGGACTAGTTTTGGAAGGAAAAGAAGGGAAATAAGAAGAACAGAAAAAGCGAAAGTGGTGTATAATAAGGTGTATAAGGGTTTTGAAGTGTGAGGTCATAAGGGTAGCAATGGTAGAGAAGGAAAATGATGATGAGGATGAACAAAGCATGAGAATTAGCTGATGCATGGGAATAAGATGGAGGGAGAGAATATGTTGGCGGGGAAGTATGAGATGAGGTGGAGAAGGATGAGAGATTGGACGTAAATGGAGAACACTCAAGAACAGGATGAAGTCTTGAAGATTTAATTGGTCTAAAATGAGCAAAAACAGAAGAAGTTGAAGCAAAAAAAAAAGATTGTGGAGGAGGTAGTAAAGGTTGAAGAAAAAGAAAAATTTAACATTTATTTTTAGAACTATAGCATATGCATATATTTATCTGGTATATCGTATTTGTCGCAATCATACCAAATCAAAAAAATTACGTTTGAGAATGTTTTAAATAAATATTTTCTCTTTATCCTTCATTCAGTAAAGTAGCAAAGTGGTTAGTTACTACTATTTAAGTATTAACATATATAGTCTATAAATGTTGCGAAATATTTCTACAACTTTTAAGTAAAGGCACAAAAAGTAAAAAAAAATAAATCCATAATAATAATTACCTGCTTATGTCTGGCTATATTCGCTATATTGATAGTATTCCCAGCATTAGCAGCGGCTGAGGAAGTAGTAGGTGCTTCGAAACTAATTCTAGCGCCACGGCTATATTGTGGTGTAGCGCTTAACAAATCATTCAAAATATGTATCACTGTTGAGATATCACGTTTTGGACGCCCATATCTATCTTGCAGAGCTGGGTTCAGTGTACCAGAAAATGTACCAGAATAAATGCCTTTGCCGTGATTTTTCATTGATTCAATAACGGCACCAGAACCACTTTTGCGTGGTGCTTCCTCGCTTGCAGAAAGATCGATTTTATTGGTGAAAACCTCCTTTGACAATTTACGCAATGTTTGTGTAAGATTACGTGATGCTTCTGCAAGAGTACGCGAATCTGATACAGTAATACCAGAGTCGTCCATTTCAACAGCAGTTGTATTGGAAGTGCTCGAAGCTGCGATCGGTGTTGCCGGCAGCGAAGTGGAACTATTACTTGTTGTGGCAGTTAAGTTGGACTCATCTGAAGCAAAACCGCTATCATTACTGCTTGAAGTTGTAGTTGCTGCTGAGTAAAAACGTGTTGATAGAGGTAACTTAGCACGTACCGCTGGTGCAGCATAACTACTATTCTGATGGTGGTAATGATGATGATGATGATGGTGGTGGTGATGGTGACGATGTTTGGAACGTGATATTGGATTATTTGTAGTTTTATGTAGTTGCTTATCGGTATTTGATGGTGTAGCACTGGACTTATAGTTTGGTGTACTAGTCAGAACTATAGGTGTACGTGTCATGTTCAAGTTATGTTCAGGAAGATCCTGACGTGCTACACAAGACGACTCAATACACGTCTTGACACCAATATTTGTACCACCATTTAAACGTGTACATAGACATGACGTCAGTTTTGCTGCTATGGGATCTTGACATGCGGCAACTGCTGATGCAGCTGCTGCAGATGTTATTGCAGTTGAGGTCATGACTGGTGTTGGAGTTACGTGTGAGGAGGATGACGAGGAAGAGGAACTGTTGCTACCATTAGAGATGGGAATGTTTTTAATTGCTGTAGTTTTAATAGGGCTCGAGACGAGATTAGATAGCGACTTAATAGGCGATTGCTCAAGTAAAACAGCCTCGGAACTGGTATGATGAAAGCCATTAGTTGCGGTCGTAGCGTTAGGCTTAATTGTATGCACTATTTGATTACTGTTTATGTTATTAACACAGCCTGCAACTGCTGTTGTGGCCGTTGGTGCAGATACAGTTTGTTGCATTTGCGAATTTATCGCTGTTGTAGTGACAGCAGGTAATAGACGATTCGGTTGTGCCATAGCAATGCTCTTCACAATATTCTGTAGGCTCTCATAATCACGCTTGCTCAAAAATGAACTTAAATCAGAACTTTTAATGGATGTATTAGAGTTGTTGGATGATAGTGTGGTATTTGAAGCCAGACTTGCAGGTATACGATTAATGCTGCTTGGAATTGCACGTGGACATGCGGCGCCAGCGCTCGCGTCTACATCCATTTTACGTACTTGCGTAGACCCAGCCGATGTTGTGGCGGCAGTTGCCAAAGAGGGCATTGTGCCAGCTGCCGTTGATGTTGTTGCATTGCTATTATGATGGTGGTGGTGGTGATGATGGTGACTGTGATGATTATGATGAACGCTCGGCGCTGATGTAGATGTACTACGACTAATGCGTTGACCTGAACGCGTGCGTGTTGGATTACAACTGCTACCATGAATTGAACTGGAATTCACAGGATTGACAGTACTCAACTGCAGTTGAATGAGCATCATATGATCACCGAGGCGCATACTGAGATTTAATGGTGTCTTGCCACTAAGAAAATCGTTCACTTGTGAATCATTAAGTGATTCCAAAGCTTGCATTACAGTGTTCTCCGGACGTTGTGCCTGTAAATGGAAATAGTAAATAATAATCATTATTAATGGAATTATTATTACAGTAGCATTTTTAATATAAAAAATAAATGTTTATATAAGTCAATTCTTAGGTGTGTCAATATGTCTGCTGCTGGATGAGGTTGGTCGTTGTTGTTGTTGTTGTTGTTGTCGTTTGTTACTACTGCACTACATTTTGCTGACTTTTCAGCGCGTCGGACTGGCTAAGCTCGTTCATTCATACACTTATTTTTAATTTTACGAGTAGCACATTCATTGAGTCTCAGTTTTCTGTTCCATTGTTTTTTTTTTTGTATTGTATTTATTTTTTCTTGAACACATTTATGTATAAATATTTTCGAAAATAACGTCTGCGCCGGTTTACAACGATGTACGGTTACGTCGCACGTTACGTAACACGCGTAATGCGCTTTTAATTAAGTGTGAATGTAAGTGCGGCTACGGGGGGAATTATCGTGTAGGTGGGTCAATGTCAGTGTCGCTTGTAAGCTATTAATAACGCAGTAGATACAGTTTACGAGTATAGATGAATATCCATTTTTTTTTTTTTTAAATACGACTACTATCAGACGCATTTATAAAAGCATTTGACGGAATTTATTACTGCGAGCAGACACATTATCTTTCATAATTTAGTGGGTTTATAAATAAAATTCATTCATTTTATAATGAAAATGTGACTAAATGAATTTTATGTTTTATTAAATAAAATCAAAACACAGACAAAGAGTAAAACTGTATGAATTTATAAATATTTACACAATTTTTAAATTTAAATGAGAGTTTTGTCCAATAGATTTAATTGCATTGTATTGCATTCTTCTTATCGTTTTTTTTTTGTTTTGAAAGTATAGATATATAAATTTATAATTATTTAAAGATTTATTATTTTATTCGTGAGTTAATATTAAAGTTAACTAAGAATAATGAACTAGAATACAAATTCCTTCGCTCTGATTATTTTAAAATTATATATTAAAAAAATATATTATTTTTTATTTAATTTTATAAGATTGGGCTTGTTTTTGTCGAAAAAAAAATTTCATCTAATTTCAAAAATTACATGATATTTTGGCTGACCACACACAAAAAATTCAATTAATTAAAAATAAATATAAATGTTTTTATTACTATTCACTACTGTTTGAAACCCCTCCATTAAATATAATATAATATAATTTTATTAAATAATATAGTTACTCTACCGTCATAACTGACGATGAAATCAAATTTAATATAGGTATATAGAATTATAATTTTTGTTAACATACATATAATCCTTCACATCTTGTAAGAGATCTCTGTTATGTTACAAATGATGGTCTTAATAGGGCATAAGCATTGCTACAATTAGCCAGTATTATACCAAATATACGTACACATAATAGAGAGCGGGAGCTTACCCTGAGGTTTCGTTTAATACTTCAGCCATACCGCAAAATAAGAAGATTGAATCTTCCTTTCAATTATACCTGTCGCAGCTGTGCATCTCAGTGCATTTCATCTATTCTGACTTTACTCAGCTCATACACGGCTGCAACTCAATACTTTGGGAGCCCCCTTACAATCAATTACAAGACCTGATACGAAACAGCATTTTGAGCTTTAGCAAAGGTTCTAGGTGGTTTTAAACCCTGAGTTTTCTTCTCTATACGATAACACAATGGGCTAATAGGCCTAAGGGGATTCAGTACGAATCACCTGTATAACTTAACTTAACCTAATACATATAATATAAAATATATAATATGATATAAATAATATAATATATACATAATATAATATATATATACTATAACGTATATAATATAATATATATAATATATATAATATAATATTTATAATATAATATATATAATATAATATATATAATATAATATATATAATATAATATATATAATGTCAAATATATAAAAAAATATATATAATTCACTGCAAACTAGGGAACCATGCTAGTAGATTGAATCTCCCTTTCAATTATACCTGTCGCAGCTATGAATAAGACGATAACAGTGTCTCTCATCTATTCTGACTTTGCTCACTTCATGCACGGCGGCGTCTTAATACTTTAGGAGTCCCCTGCCTTGAGAATCGTGATCAATTACAAGGCCTGATACTAAACAGCATTTTGAGCTCTGTCAAAGCTTCTAGGTGGTTCTAAACCCTGAGTTTACCTCTCTATATGGTAACAAAATGGGCCAATATGCGTAAGCGAATATCCTAGGGATCGCTGGTATATCCTAACCTAACCTAATATATATCATAATGTATAAAATATAATATATAGAATACAATATATATAATATAATACATATAATATGACATATATAAAATAATATATACAAGTTATTATGTGTAGCTAATAAATATAGTACAATACACATATATGTTAATACCATTTTTATAAAAACTGATATATCGTATTTAAATTACAAGAACTACATAATATCAAAAATTTTATTTATATATAAAATTGGAAAGGTGTTTTTGTCTGCATTCCACTGGCACTTTTTAAGTCAAAACGTACTGAAATATATTAATTAAGTACTTGAATTAATGCAGATAGACATTCTACGAGTAATGCTAATCGCTAACAGGAATTGCATCATATTTTAGTTGATAAAATATAAAAATAAAGTATAAAAAAAAATTTATATTATTATTTCAAGATATAAAGTATGGCTCTTTGCATTTGATAAGCAAGAAACTTTTTAATAGTTTAAAAAAAAGCACAAATCTTGATGTTAAATCAGGGGTTATACTAAATACTGCAATGCAAATGTTTTTAACTGAAAAGTATATAGTATAAGAAATATATACAATTACTTTGAAATATGTATGAGTCAATAAACTAAATACTTAAACATTGCATCATATGAATGACTGAATGATTGTAAGTGTGAAAAACACATTAGGATGGATGTACGTCATTGTTAATGTTTTAGTAGAAAAGATACGATTCGTATCTACTACTACTTTTAATGTGAAGTAAAAGCAAAACTAAATAAAAAAACACACCCAAATCAGGAAAATTTCGAGGAACTTTTATCATAAAAAAGCACCAAAACCAAAATTAATGAGTAAGTGTTGAATGAGTGTGTGGAAACATATGGGTTAGTTGTTGCAATGCTACATTAACCCATATTTGGAATAGGGAATAAAGTGTAGTGTCAGTACAACTTTCCTTAAATAAGCTGAGCTGTGTGGTTGTATGGTTGTGTACGCTCTTAAAATACAAACAACGAAGTCTCAATAAAAAATATTGCATGTTTTGGCATTATTAAGACTAAGAAGAAATATGAAAGTGTATAAAAATATAAGAAAAAAAAATAAAAGTTAATTATTTTATGAATTCTACAGGCGCGTCCACACTGTAGACGTCAGTTCTGTGAGCTGAGCTGTGATGTCAATTTGAAGGAGCAAAAATGCTGCTGCTGGTGCCATAATATAGTTACCATTAAAGTCTCGTGAATGCATATGCTTACTTATTATATATATAAAAAGTATATACATACATATCTGCATAACCTCAAGTTATGATGACAAACCACAAATTTGAATTTTATTGGGTCACTATGTCAATAAGTTTAATAAAATTGTATCTATATATGTATGAAAGTATCTGATGATGGTGTATATATCATTTGCGTACAAAAAAGTATATAAAAATAACAAAAGCTTTATTGGTTGCTTATGTTTTTTTTTTATTTTTGTTTTTTTTTTTTTGACTAAAATTAAAATGATTAATTAACCCAGACCTTTAAAACAAAGGCAAGCAGGCAGAGCAATGTTGGCTGGCGTTGGCAATGATGCAGCTAATGACTTGGATACAGACAAACTGACAAACTCTGGATACAACAAATAAAAGCGACAGCGATTTTTATTTATTTATTGCACAATTCTGAACAGCACGACAGCTACTTAAAATTTAATACAAAAAATTAACAAATAAAAAAAATTAATAAATAAAAAATACGTAGCGAAAATGAAATCGCTTGGAAAGTTGCTTGCAATAACAAACAAAAAAAAATTTATACTTTTAAAAATATTTCAGAAATGTTGAAAATAAAAATCAATCCAAAATGAAATAATTTTTTATGAATTGTTACGTATTAAAAATTTAATTGCTACATACGAAATATTATTAAATAAATATTAATAAAGAAATAAATTGGTAATAAATACACATTGCGCTGCTGTTGCTGCTAAGCAATTTTATGGAAATCTACTAGGCAAGGCCTCAATATTTCAGTGATAATACTGAAAGTATACGAGTAAGTAATTGGAAAACCAAAAGCCGGTACCATGTATAAGGCAGTTTAATAGTCGAAATATGGGCAAAGTGTGGGTGAAGCGCAGCATTGAGGTTTATTAGTATTTTAGTGGTGCGTAGCAATGTACTGGACACGCGATTTTGAATATATTATCAAAATAGCTTCTCAAGCATACTTTTATACCGAAAAAAAAAAAAGAAATATAACAACACAATTCCAGAGATAGAATGGACAGCCAGAGATAGGTTGAACAATCACTTTAAGTGACAAATTGTCCACATGACAGTAAATACGACATTTTCATTTCGAATCATTTTTTTTCCAAAATTAATTTCATATTTTTACATTTTCAAAATTTCACTCTCGAATACTACAAGTGATTTTTGACTTAAAAACAGCAAAAGTTGACATAAAAATATTTTTTTTTACAAAATAATTTAATTTATTATTAAGAGAAAAAAGTAATTTATTTTCGCAAATAAAGACCAACGAAATGGAAAGCACAAAAATAAATTTTAATCTAAAAAAATATCTATATATATACATATATGTACATTTCAAAAAAAAAAATTAAAAAAACTAAATATAAAAAAAATAAACACAAAAAAAAAATTTAAAAAAAAAAATATAATCAGCAAATAAAGTTGAGATACTTTCTAGATTTAATTATTTTTAAGGTGTCAAAAAATATTTTTTTTTTTTTGTTAAATAAATTTT